AAGTTATATATATATATATATCCAAGTTAGAACTGAATCGGTGAGCATTGTAATTCTGTTACTTTGGTGCCTAATCTTTGCTTCGTTGCCTTCTTCTTCCAGCCAAATGAAACAGGGGACAGCGCTCGCCGTTCCGGCACCCACATAATTGGTGGAAATCAGGATGTGGACGCAGTTGCCTCTCAAGCTGAAAACGCTTTCACTGCTCCCCTCCAATCTGATGCATCTGTGTCTCCGGGCGTATTAGAGTTCACCGAGAAACTGGTGCGTGACCAACTGGCTCCAGAGTTGTACACTCTGGTCCAACGTTTGTACCGCAAGGCCGGGTGGATTGATCCAGAACTGGCTTCATCCACATCTGCACTGCTCAAATCCGTCGGTCCGGTGACACCAAATTTACTTCGTGACAGGCTTGAACGTCGCACACAGGTTGTCTCAAAGTATCTGGCGGAGAAAACTTTACGTCCACAAATGGAGACGACAGATTTAAACCGTCGCCCGGATACAGATGTCATGTTGCCACTGTTGCCGCCACACCCGTGCTCAGAATCGTTGATGTTCACCCCGCTGTTGGATTTTATCAAGTCCATTTGTGAAGTGCGTCCATGGTGGAGTTTGGTTCTTATTGATGTTACTGTTGTATCATTAATGCGGATGATCATCGAACAGTGTGTGCATTTGTGCAGACATGTAAAAATGATCATTGCACCTTTCAGATATCCACACGATTTCAACGCCTACTCATTTATGTTTCACTACCAGCCTGAAATCTGCAAGGTGCCACCACTGTTTATGGCGGTTCAACGTAAATGAAAAAAGCAATGGCGGGTTTGTACCACTGAGGTTAATTAGCTTCCCATGGCTCATCAGTTTGACAGCTGGCTCGTCGCCTACTCACTAAAGTGTAGGTAACCTCGTCCTGAGAATGTCGTTGGGTTGATTTGTGGTAATCGAACAGGTATTTCTTCCTGCGTACTACTTCGCGCTATTAACAATTGTAATATGAATAGTATCATCATCATCTCAGTGAGTTTACGCTTTCCTTAACCATCCACCAATTTTTTCCTTTTCTTATTCGTTCTTCATGAAACACATTGGAGCAATATTAGCAGCCCCTGTTTTGTATGATTCATTTCTCGCGAATAGCACCAAACTGTATATTTCAACAGGGTTACTTTCCAAGCTTAGCTTTTCAATAATGCTTTCCAGTATCCCTATTGATTCCCTTAAAGGCACTTCTCCACGTGTCTCATTCGTCTCATTACTTTTTGTGCCGATGACGATTGAATCACCGATTCGCCTCATCAGGTTTTTGTTTAATATCCTACAATATGTCCTTCTGCAGCCGCTATCACCCAAAATTGCCGGCGCATGTGAATTCCGCCGAGAAAAATAATCAGTGAGAACACAAATTGGCAAACAAGCTCGTTTTCAGTGTGTCTTAATCATGCCATTACAACACAATAAATACGACTAGTATCAAAGAAGGATTTACAAGGAAAACGAGAGGGAAAGTGATTAAAGTATTCAAGAGTGTGACTGGAATGTAACTCATTCACAGATACCGATTAGTTCTCTCAGTGAGAATTTCTATACTAAGCTGTTCTTGATAGCCATACACTCCGCTGCATCACATATTTGCCCTACTTTATGAAATAACAAAGTTCACTCACGCAATCGATATTTGCGCTAGCGTTTTACGCAGATCAGCGTACCTCAGACTACCTGATAGTGCAAAAAGCATAGAGTATACTATGCTCGCTCGTGATCGATTTCAATTCCATTGTTTTCTACAGTCGTGTTACGTATGTCGTTTTTTTCGAGATTGCAAATTACAGTCAGTCAAACATACTGAAGCATTTTATTTGTGTGAGGTTTTGTGTACAAACCGACTACGAGAATTAGATAGCTGTCTCCGCTTTCTTGAGACTCCTATAACACAACGTAATTTTTCTCTTCTGCTCTCCCATAACTACCTCTTTAGGTTCTCAGTTTGGATCGCTCATTGAAACGCCAAGTGACCGGAATTCGACGTGATCTACTTCGTCTAATTGGAGTTGGTGAATTCTCTCCGGAAGCCGTCTGGATCGCCCCGCACTTGGTACGCGATGAACCCTTGTCCACTCAAGACTATCAAGATTCGGAATTACCCACAGCCCATCCCATACGCTCACTTTTGGTCTATCTGCCGGAGGTTGCCTGTCCAGTGTGCAATTTCACACGAGACATCGATGTATGCCGAGATACGCATCTTGTTCGAATGGTCGATACAACCGAATCTGCGGTCGGTCATTGGGCTTGGGTTTGCCCACATTGCCGAAATGTCTATCCCCGATCACGACTGGAAGAAGCGTTGGTTCAACAGCTGGAGCAGATTGCTTTACAGCACTGTCTTCAGGTAAATACCGCGCTTTCTTGTGTAGATATGTCATATCCTTTTACAATGTTGTGCGATGAATAAAGAAGGTGCGATACCCTAAAGTTACAACGACGTACTCATGATTACCGGCAGCCTGAGTAGTGGGATTTGAAACGGCTAACTGCATGAGGCCTATTTTTGAGCCGCTTAACAGTGAAGCGGCCAATTATATGGTGAATATCGTCGTGCATACAGTAAATCAAACGGAAACTGAAAAGCTAAGAAGCTCTGTACAGCTGTTTCGACCTGATTGGGTCTCATCAACACACCGCACCACACTGGGAATCAAACCCTGGACCTCACAGATAGAATGCAAGCGTTCTTAGCTTTTCAGTTCACGCTTGGTTTGCTTCATACACGACGAAATGCACTATATAATAACTGTCATTGTCCAAACTCATCCGATTAGATCTTGAGCGTATGTCTCCCACCTGGTTTTTGTATTGACCTCTGCAAATTTCGTTTGTTCACATCGGAATACATTGAGTATCTGACTTGCACTTCACCATTATTTCCGCAGTGTGAATTGAGATCCTGGTAAAACCATATTACGTGCACATCTAATAAATCCACCAGAAAGCTCTCCTTAATACTCAAATTGATAATCAACAAAAAAAAGATAGCACTATTTTTGATTATTATCGTTTCTCTTTTATTTTTAACTTCCTCTATTCTATCTGCATTTGTGCTCAATCAGGATCTTCAATGTGTCAAATGTCTGTCCACTGGGGGTATTCAAGAAACGATACTAGCTAAAGGTGGGTCCGTGGCACGATGTGCAGACTGTTCGCATCGTCTCTCCTTGACCATCCCAGTGGGAACAGCGTTCTACAAGCGCCTGGATGTCTACCGTTCAGTAGGATTGCAATTTGGTTTCCCAGTTCTCGAGCAGACTGCTTTTTGGATGCTTTGTGGATTGCACACGTCTTAGCTAGTTGAATCACCTGTGCTAACATATTAAGTGAATGCATTTATTTATTCCTGTAATCAAAACCTGCATTTATCGACCTTTCCATGAAAGATGTCTACGATGACATTTTGAGAATTGTGTTTATTGCACAAGATCTTTGTGTATCTATTTTCCCCCACAGACAAAGTTAGAACATTTCCATTTTTCTATTTCCGATATTTTTGTACACAGAAAAATAAATAAAGAAAATGGTATTTTTCTACTCACTCGTTGCATTTTTTGCTCGCTATCCCCTCGCTGTTCCTCACCTGCTTACCGTCACGCATAGTCATTCTCATCCCTGCTCACTCGCTCACATGAAACGCACTTGTTCAAGTTCTGCTCCGCATCCTACCCCGATTCTAACTCTTGCTGTTTGTGTGACACACTCCGTTCAGATGTTTATCCTCACCTATCAATCGTTTGTTCGTCTGCGTGTCTGCAAATGCCTGTTTGTAACTCGACTTTTCTCACAACATTTCACCAATGTTCAGCTGAGAACGATATCCACCTCGTACATTTGGTCAACTAGCTGATCCGAAGCGATTTTGAGTCGATAAGCCGCCTGTGTTCATCGACGGCTGCGATTCCGTCTATGAGCAAATTCGAATGTGAGGCTTAATCGAAACTGCGCTCCGACCGTTTCTGCAATTAACTAGGTCTCTAGATCCTACATTCGACACTTATCTCTGATATAAATTGATAGCAAGCAAACGGGAAGGCCGTTTGTCAGGGCCAATTTTACGTTTCACTGGTGTTTTTTTGATACTTTTTGGGATTGGACACAATTTTGTGAAATTAGCTTTGATAGCTGATCCGTGAAACAATGGGACATATTGTTTGTTCGATTTTCGGGACAAAGCGGTGCTATATCTCTAACTTTTATGTTGACAGTTTGCAATTAGCCTGTTCGAAATATATATATATATATATATATATACCGTTGATAGCTATTTCCGGCGGCAAATATATATGCGCGGTTCCGGAATATCTTTGTTCTACTGAACAGGAAAAAAATTTCACCGGAACTAGTTAACTGGTAATCTGTGTTTCTCTCACGTTACTCACTGACTCAGACTTTGGACCCCAGTAGAGAGGTCGTATCTGGTCTACCAGAGACGAGTCGGTTCAAGTGGCTTTGATTCTCAGTCCAAAGTTTCATCGGAACATTAATCAGCAGCTCTTGCCCGACGTGTGTTCTGCTCGCACTCGATTATCACCAGCTCACTTCGATGACCTACACACTCACTGTGCTCCGTTACTCACCGGTCTCAATGTTTTTTGTTTACTATTCTTAGTCGATGAGGTGGGGTCGCAGTCCGTTCTTATTGTACAATGACCTACCGCACAGCGCTTTGTTGTAGAATAGAATTAACACAAACAAATGGTCTTAATCGCACCAGCAAATGCTGGAGTCATCTGTTCGTTATCTTGATTTCGTGTAGTCCGTTATTTCGCACG